CAGAATTCCCCGGCCAGCCATGCTGGCCGGGGAATTCTGGGAGCTGAAGTCCACATGTCTTCAAGTGGCCAGGGTTGAGAAACACTGTACTAGAGTAGAACAGTGATTGTGACATTCAGAGACCCAAGAATGACTGAGAATGATGATTTTTTCAGTAAGTTTACTGAAATATGCACTTTAAAATATGGTCCCCTCAAATTTGTGGTTTAAGCATGTCTGTTATGTGTACAGAGGGTAAAGGAATGAATCCAGAAACTTTGATTTGATTGTTTACAATAAAAGCAAAGAATGAGTAAAAGATTTGAGAATGATAAAAGTTTTATTTCAAATGTGGGACAGAATTTTTTTGATAATTCTAAGAGTGAATAGTTTAATATGTGCATGAAGACTGTACCTGTGCCTGGCAATTAGAAAAATACTGTTACTGTGCACTTACACAAAATAAACAATAATGAGGATTGCAAAAACGATATAGGAAATTAGTTTGTTTAGCTTGCCCGAAAGATGTTTGGCAGAATTTATTTATTTAAATGATTTGTATGGCTGCCCAACTCACAAAATGAATTTTGATTGAACAGGCACAAAAGGTGACATTTTGGAAATATATTGTGGCTTTATGCTGGGCAGTGGGTGTGCCAGCCACATTTTGTTTTTCAGTAGGTTGCTGAAAAATGAATGAAGACAAGCAATCAACTTTATTGTACATTTGTTGATTTAGAGAAAACATATGACCCAGTGAATAAGCTTGAATTGTGGAATGTTTTGCACACATGGAATGGAAGGTTAGTTACTGACCTTCATGCTTCTTGATTGGCTCAGCACTGAGCAGGCAGTAAAGCAAGGTTTTGTGATATCTCTTGGGTTTATAGGTAAACATATAATGAAAGCTTGTGGTAATGTTAGAGGTTTGTTGGTTGGGGACATGAAAGAGTCTGTATTTTTATGCAAATGATGTGTTGTTGGCTGACAGTTCAGATATTAGTTCAATATCTAATATTGCAGCAAATATTAGATAGATTGTATGATACAACAAGGAGTATGGCTCTCTGAGAACTAATATGTTGAGACTAAGATAGCTGTATCTGACAAGGAGAACGGTTATAGGACTGCAAGTACAGTCATGTGAAAAAGTAAGTACACCCCATGTAATGTATTTTCTTTCTTAACGTATGTCATATCAATATTTTAACTTAATTCAAACAGTATGTAAAGATAAAGATAAGGTAATTGAACCAAAAAACTATGAAAAATTGGCTTTGCAATCTTTTATCCAACAAAAAATTAACAGATGTGCCATTTCCTTCAGTGGAAAAAAGAAGGACACCCCTGGCTCGAATACCTAGTATTGCCCCTTTGGCAGAAGCAACCTCAAGGAGGCTGCCCAGGCCCTGATGCAGCAAAACAGCCCCGAATTGTACCATTTCCACCACCATGCTCTACCGTTGGTATCAAGTTATTCTGGTGTTTGGCTTTCACCAAACGGGTCTTCTGCTGCTGTGGTCCCAGAACTCTATCTTTGCCTGGTTTGTCCAGAGCGCATTGCTCCAGAAGTCCTGGCCTTTGCTTAGGTGTTCATGAGCAAACTTTACTCACCCTGATGTTCTTTCTGGACAGCAAAGTTTTCCTCTCAGCACACTTCCTACAGAGATCTAATTTGTGCAGCTTCTTTTTAATGATAGGTTCAGGCACTTTTGCAGCAGTAGTGGTGAGAGCTACCTGTAGGTCATGTGATGAAATTCTGGAGTTCTTGGGGACTTATTTGGGCATCTTGTGTTCTGGTCTCAGGCTGAACTTCTGGGATGGCCTGGCCTGGGCAAGCTGGCAGTTGTTTGAAATCTTCTCCACTTGTAGATGACCTTTTGGACAGTGGAATGATTGATGCCCAATTGTTTGGAGATCTTTTTAAGTCCCTTCCTAGACTCATAGACATGTATAACCTTCTTTCTGAAGGCCTCAGAGAGCTCTTTCAATCTAGGTATGGTGATAGCACACACTTCAACAACAAAGAGTAAATCAAACTAAATATCTGAGGTTTCAATTAGACAGGTTCCTCCCAGATCCCCTCTAATGATGTTCTGATCATTTGCATCTGATCTTCTGCACCTGATTCTAATTTTAGGTCTTTGAGGTTGTGAGGAGTGTGCTTACTTTCTCCACATGTGAAATTTGCATTTGTGTTTATTTAAGTTACACAGTGGACTACAACATATAAATAGTGCATGATGTTTGTTGTATCTCCTTTATCTATCAATATTGTTGAAATGAAGATTAAATATGTGTGTGATGAAATAGGTTGAGAGAGTCAAAAATTTCAATGGGGTCCACTTTTTCACATGACTTTATGTATTCATTTATACTTTAATCTTGGCATAAAGAAAAAAGTTGATTATATCTTTATCTCAAAGCAGATCATATCAATATACCAACAAAAAAAAATCTCCCAGACAAATGTTTTTGAAGTAGGTAGCCCTTTATTTAACTACATCTAAAACCATTCAAGATTTATAAGGATGCACAGTACATTCCTATACATGTCTACTTACATACCTACTTACTTAAGTTGTAAACCTCCATTGGATTTCAACTTTAGATAATTTGTTTTCTTATTTATGTACTGTGTTAGAGTTCTAGGTGATTTAGAACAAATAATAATATGTTTAAAAGGTTTTACAGGATATGTTTCAGAAAGGCAGATTCCAGCTAAATTTGGGGGCAGGGAAGTGGGAAGAGTGGAATCCTTACTAATCATGAGAGCATTTCAGCAATGGAACCCATGACCTAGAGAATGTTCTGGTGGAGGCCAGATGATTGAGACCTTCCAGATCTACAGTTCATACTGTTTAGATTTATAAGAATGTAATTGTCTTATCTTACTACATACCAGTCAGTCTTCATTCTTAATAAGAGGAACGAAAGCCTTGTTTTCCAGAAGCTGCCTTCAAAAAATTGATCAGATGAAATTGGTCAGTTTCTAAAGCTTCACAAAGATTGGAATCCACCATTCAGCAATAGAGTGAAATATCTTCCCAATAACAAAGTTTTCTCCAGGAGTTTGCTAGAAGGGAAGATGTTAAATCAAGGCTATATATGATCAGAGACCAAGGATCTGTGATTTTAAGATCTGCATCGGGCTAAATTGAACTCTGGCTTGGATAAGTTATGTGAAATTAATGCATAAAGTATTGTTCTTAATCAGATTTGGATATCTTGGGATATGAGACAAAGTTATCTCTATAAAGCTGCTTATTAAAGTGCCCATATCTCAGATGTTTATAGTTTTCTCCAAACTCTTCCAAGCGCACTTTTGAAATAATTTCTTCTTTATCTTAATGCTGTATATTCCTGTATCATTTTTATAAATGCATTTATCATCCCAGAGGAAATTTCACTTTGGATTTCCTGGCATGCCTTTTTAAGATAAACAGGCATTTTACAATATAAATCAAACCAGGAAACTTGATGTTGCAGAGAGAATAAATGATATTAATTGTTGACTGAGCATGGTTTGAGTTGCTCCTTAAATTGGTAAGCACTCAGAATATTAAGTATGTGGTTTTCTGCTTGCAGCAGGTTATCCTATAATCATGTTGATCCAAAAAAGGAATTTAATCAATGTTTGCTGCTGCAGTACCGCCCAGTTTGATATTCTTTTGTGGCCCGTTAACTCAATTGACCATCAATTTTAACCTTTCACTGTTTGCAAGCAAAGCATGGGTTGATTTGGGATGTGGACACATTACTTTAATGGATGTAATATACGTACATTTTGATCACTTTTAGACTGTGTCAAGAGCCAGTATTGAGTTTTAAGGCATGCAAGAAACTGTTTACTTTCACTATTTATGGATAAATAAGTTTTAGTCCCTGAGTGTCCTCCCACATTTTAGAATCCAAATCATTCCATTGTAGGGCACAAATGGTGTTTTGTATATAATGTGTCTCAATTATGTACATATTGTTTCCTGGACATTGTACATTAATTGCATCAGATTGGTTGCGTAGAGAGGCTTTCTTTATTTGCAGAAGTCATTAGCACTGATGGAAGAGAAAATAACCGCAGCAGCTCTGGTAGTGGCTCCCCCCATACATACGCCATTGACCTTTCTCTAGCTATGACATAAGAGTCTCCGGTCTCATGGATTATCCAGGATAACGGGCAAGTATGAAGCATTCTGCTGCATACTACAGGCATCCACCAACTCTCCTTTGGTAAGTACATTGGTTATTGTGCAGCAGGCATGTTAATGGGGTGATAGTGGGAGACTTGAAAGTCAGGAACGGTGAAGGAAGATTCTGTGGAGGATGAATTTGAAGATGAAAGGGCAGCTGTAAGTGAATGTGGGTGTAAGATTAGAGATGGGTCTGGAAGGAGGAGGAGAGATACCATCTATGGAACAGAAACATGGTAATGGGGTAGGGGATATTGAGATTTGGTGTATGCTTTTTTGAATTGGTACAGATTAATATTTTCTTGCTTTATCAGGTTCAGAAAAAAGTAATAACAAGCCCTTCAGGTGCTGGAGATCCGACCAAGGTAGGTATATGTAAATGAATGTTGTTGTGTTGGTGGGAGGAATCTTACGTCGTGTGCTGTAGGGTGGTATTTCTTGGAATTCTGTCTAGTGTCCCTTTTGGTTGGAAGAAGGTACAGCCAGAGCAGCAGAAGGTCCTTGTTCTGCTTTCTCTCTTCCTTCCTTTCTTCATGATAACCCTCCTTTGTTTAGATTTAGGCATGATCCAGATGCCCATCTTCTTATGGATCACCTTCCCCATAGCCTAGGCAGGATCCAGCAAGTATTTTCAGTGTACCATCCTGGAGCTAGTGTTTTCTGATGGCAGGGTTACATGAAGACTGAGCATTTTTGGCAAAGAAGCTTGGCTTCCAGTCATCTTGCCTGTTACAACAGTAGACCTAAACACTTCTCCAGGATCACAGAAACACTATGAAAAAAGCTTTATGGAGAGATAATACCCTTCCCTTCTCCTTTTGTAAGTGCAATCAGATTGTCAGTCTGCAAAAATGTGAGTGTCAGATACAACCCTTAAAGAATAACGTGTAGCAAAACTTTGGTTGAGTAAGTTATTCAATCAATTCAGTACAAATTGGACTAAAAACAGTATAGTGCAGCTTTTGTATGATAGCTAGAAGGGCTTTATAAAGTGTTTTCTACAACACGAGCCTAGTGGTTGGAATAAGAAGCAAAAATGTGAAAGAAATGCTCAGAAGAATGCATTTTGATATGGCAGCAACAACAGTATTGTGGGTTTTTCCTTCTTAATTTCCACAGAAGCAGCAGTCTCAAGAAGTGATGTGACAGTCTTCGTACAGATGGTGGGCCAGGAATACCTGCAAATGTTTCATTGCTTACAGGAAATATCCAGAACATTTCTCAGAAGATGGGACTTGTTCCCCTCAGAGAATAATCTTTGACAGTCAAAAGGCAATGCACATGTGTACAATATACATCTCAGGTCTTTTTCAAATTGCTTTCATTTCAGTATTTTTGAAGTTCTTCTAATTGGCTTCCCTTTTGTATGAAAAAAATAAATGAAGTTTGTGTTTTTTTTCCAATGTTCCAGGTGATGTGTGTATTTTTTCCCACACCAAGTTTATTGTCCCAAGTCCCTAGCAGTAGTGTAGTTAGCCTTTTCCAACTATGGTGAGTTCCATCCCTTTCTGTGTGACAACCCCAATAGATGGGTTGTCAGCAGGACCTGTAGCAAAAGCCTTAATCTTCCCCCCTCCCCTTACTTACAATCCTAAGTAGGATCAAGAACACTTAGTTCCAAATCACTGTTGGGGTATAATGAATCTGCCCTGTTGATGTGTCCAGGTGAGACCAGGGTATCCTAAGACCTTTCTTCTCTAACATGAAGCTACTGTCATCTAATATAAAGCCTGCCATCAAAATCAGATAGTTGTGAACAAAGATGCCCCCAGTTTGGGAAGGGTATCTGGAAGTTAGGAATCTGCCCTTTTCTTTGAGGGAAAATGTGGTATTAGGCTGTCATCTTTGCAAAGAGTATCCAGTTGCATGTGGTGTTTCAGCAGGCCCCTCATAATAATTTGCTAGAAAAATGAAGGGCACCTCTTTGAGGCTGGGGCCGCACTCTCTTAAAATCACATTTTGGGCCTCTGAGAGCTGCAGGTGGTGTGTCCAGTGATGATGGCATCAATGTTCACCTTTGGCAGGGAAAAGTTTGCCTTTAGCCTTGCTAAAAAGAAAATCCTTCCCCAAAACAGGGGAGATTGACTCACTTGTTGGGTTTAGTGGTGTTCTTAGGGGATGAACACCACTTAAGGTAGTCATTTCCTCCCTTAATTTCTCCAGCCAAAATTTTTGCTCCCATCCTCAGAAAGTGATCTGGGTGGCAAAGCAGGTGTACTCACCTCTGCAGGAAAGTGAACGTGCTAAGTTGGAACCTGTCTATTAATCTTTTTTTTTAACATTATTTTTCCTCGTGTGATTACAACCGATACTATGTAAAAGGGTTAGACAGTGGGAATGATCATTGTTTACATTTCTTCAGCTAAAATAGCCCCCACTGGTAATTGGTTGAAAAATTATTCATTATTTGAGAAGCATGATCTTGGAAAAACAGAATTAAAAGAAGGAATATCCTGTATATAAAACCATTTGGAAATTAAAATTAAACCTTACAACACTGACATACTTAAAACAGTAGGAAAGAGAAAAATAGGATATGTAGTTAAATTAAGCAACCAGACAAACTTCAATCCACAATGATCTCTTGAATATATTTGACCTCCTCAATCAAAAGGAAATAGTACATATTCAGACTTGGATAAGCTGAAAAGTTGTGATTGGAAGAGAGTTTAAATACCGTATACGTGACAGAGCTGTATTAAAATAAAACTATTTATCACATGACAGGGAATAAATCTGCCAGGAAAGCTGGAAGCTATAATATAATATAATATAATATAATATAATATAATATAATATAATTAATATATAATTATAATATAATATATAATTATAATATAAGGGTGGTGTATGTGAGATAAAATGAAAATAGTTAACTTCTTTCATTTTTTTAACAGTAGGAGCAAGGATAGGTATGCTGGAACCAGGGTATAAAGCTCCTAAATTAAGAGAAACAATATTAAGAACTGTTTTAAAGTAAATGCTACTGAATGCCAGGTTTGTCTGTACTGTAATAAACAACATTCTCATCCACAATTTAATTGTAGATTAGAGGGCAGAGTTGACTTGCGTTACTGAAACTGGGGAGGGGAGGAGGAGGATGAAGAGGGGGGAATTCCTCTCTTGGGAATCTGCCCACCCAGATTTCAGCTTTGACACCAGTCCCAATCCCAGGAGTAGGGAGGAAGCTATTGTCATCCATGAGACTGCTGGCATCAAGATATGCTACACCACAGATAACGATGTGAGACCTTGTTTGTGTAGTTAGTGAGTCCAAAGGGGCAGTTGTGAATGCTGCTGGTGGATTGCTCCCCCTGCTCACAAGGCGACACTCCTGCCAGGGCTGCTCAACCTAATTAATGGGGTGGTGGTACAGGTCCCCTAACTGGTGATGTTGGGGGAATTCAACCTGCCTTTCCTGGGTGAGAGATCTGGAGTGGCCCAAGAGTTCATGGCAGCCATGGCAACCATGGCACACGAGAGGTCACATGCTAGATCTGGTTTTTGTCCCAGGGCAGGTGCGACATGATCTGAAAGTGGGGAGCTTTGAGTATTGGCCCTTGTGGACAGATAACTGTTACGGAGTTTTGTGGTGCAACTGTTCTCTGCAGTGGGGAAGGACCTATCAGATTGATCTGCCCAGGCACCTATTAGGTCCAGTGGGTTTTCAAAGGGTGCAGTTCAGTCCAGACCCTGGTCCCAATGCAATAAGTGGACAACTAAGGTGCTTGATTAGACTGCACTGGAGCGGCCTCTCCCCTCTTGCAGATCTACTGAAGCTCCTTGCTTTACTGAGAAGCTCAAGGAGATGAAGCAGTAGAAGAGATGCCAAGAGCATTGCTGTGGAGGAAGATCCATTTCAGGTCTGACCAGACGCTGGTAGGAGCTCGTGTTTGAGCCTACACAGTGGGAGTACAAGTGGAAAAATGGAAATACTTTGTTTTTATGGCATTTGCTGAATACCACCCAATGGTCCTTTTTGAGGTGACCTAAAAGGGAATGATGATTGTCAAAAACACTTGAAAAGAATTCTGTGAAGAATTCTCACAGCATTTGGCTCAGATTCAAATGGAGTTGGATTCTAACTGGACACGGCCAATAGAGATTATTGGGACTTCATCCCAATCTGGGATCAATTTGAATCTGAGTCCTGAGGAGGTGGATAGAGGGTATCAACACCACCACCTCTTAGTTGTATCCCTGCCCCTCATGATTGTTTAAAGTGTCATGAGATGGCAAAAAATTGGATTCAACCAGTAATCAATACTTCTGTGAGTCAGGGGGTGTTCCCTTTACCTCTGAAAGAGGCTCTGGTGTGTCCCTTCTCAAGAAGTCTTCACTCAACCTATCTTGGATAATTTTAGACCTTTTTAGGGAAAGTTGGGGAGGAAGTGGTGGCCTTGCAACTCCAGAAGACTCTAGATAAAATGGATTATTTGGAAGCTTGGAAGTTGGGTTTTGGGCTAGAGTACTGTACACCATAGACACTCCATTGGTTGTGCTTGTGGATGACCTTTGGAGAGACCAGGATCGAGTAGTTAAACCCTCCTGATCCTCCTCGATCTCTCAGCAGCTTTTTATACCATTGAGCATAGTATCCTTCTCATAGAATCCATATACCACTGAGCATACTTTCCCATAGTATCCATTGTATATGGGATTGGAGTGGGGGGATACTCTCATCTACATGAAACTACTGGGCAAGATCATCCATTGTCGTGGGGTCTAGTATCTTCAATATGTTGATGATAGCCAGCTATCCATCTTGACAACTGACCAAAGAGTTGGTAGAAGTGTGGACCCAGTGCCTGGAGGCAATCAGGATCTGGGTGGAGAGGAACAGACTCAGACTGAATTCCTCCATGTCAGAGCACTTTTGGGTTTGTGGGCCAAACAATTCCAGGGAAATATCCTTGACTCTGAAATGCTCCCCTGTTCAGATGTAGTTTGCTATTTGGGTGTCCTCTTGGACTCACAGCTCGTGCCTGATCAACAGATAGAAATTATGTTCAGGGGGGCTTTTGTACAATTACTTCTTATGTGACAATGCAGCCACTCCTGGATCAGGAGGCCCTGCTCATAGTCACTCATACCCTAGTCACCCCTCACTTGGATCAGGGTTAATGCACTGTACTCAGAACTGCCCCTGGGAAGCATTTGGTGCAAAATGTAGCAGCCCAGGCAGTGATGGATGTCTTTTGATATACATGTAGTCCTCAGTGACTGCCTCATTTAGTGACTGTTCACAGTTACAACAGTGACGAAAAAGTAACTTTATGACCAATCCTTACATTTATGACTGTAGGTCTGTAAAGCAAAGGAAAGCTGAAGTAAGATCATAAGCACAGTTTCACTTAGTGATCGCTTTGCTTAACAAGATTTGCCAGTCCCAATTGTGGTTGCTAAACGAGGACTACCTGTACTCAGGTGACTCCACTATTGTCAGCTGGCTTCCAAGTGCTATTCAAGGTGCTAATTTTCACCTTAAAGGCTATATATGGCTCTGGACCTCGTTATCTGTTTGACCTCCTTCTCTCATATAAATCTGCCTGCCTGATCAGATTGAACATAATCAAGTCCCTCCAGGCCCCATCTATCCAAGAATGCTATCTGATGGGCCTTGGAAGTCGGCATTTTTGATCACCACTCCACACCCTCAAATTCCCTCTCCATTGAAATCTGGTCGTCTCCTGGGCTTCAGGAGAGCATTCAAGATTTGGTTGTTCCATCAAGCGCAGAAGGATGGCATGCTGTGATTGAAGATTTTAATTTTCGTATGTTTTCTTTTTTGTTTTTGTATAATTTTGATACTGTATTTGGTTTATTTTATGGGTGGCTTTATTTATTGTTATTTTTGAAGTGTTTATGTTTTTGCTTGGTGATGTTTGACTTTGGTCAGATTTCTCTTTGTAAACTAGTACATTACTCTGATGTCATCCCTGCTTCATCCCCATTCAGTCTAAAACTATTACAGGGGAGGCAAGAAGAACCTTTCCAGGCAATGTGGCCTGGTTGTTGTAAACTCTTCCCTGCCAACAGCTATGCGTGCAGATGATAATACCTCACATTGATTATGCGCCATCAAGTTGGAATCAACTCTTAACAACCACATAGATAGAACTTCTCCAGGATCTATTTCCAAACCTGGCCCCTCAGATCTTCCAATGGTGCACCCATCGCTGCTGTAATCAAATCCATGCATATCTTGCAGCGATTCGTCCTCTTCCTCTCTTTCCTTTCACTTTTCCCAGCATTATGCCCTTGCGGGAA